TGGCAGATAGTTATTAGCAATCTGCTAATAGCAAAGAAGGCATTTCGGCTTTATTGGTACATTCTCTCCGGCCGACAGCTATGCAGCGATATACAGCTCAAAGACAAGTCTGAACAATCACTGTGTCGTGCACGCACACATTCCCCTCAGCAGCCCTCCTCCAGTCATGTGACTGCAACACAACTGAGCTCTGTACAAGACGATGAGCAATGACAAAGCCTCAATGTAAGCAAACATTGACAAACACGTAGGTAGAAACTACAGATTAGTATGGTATTAGTAAAGTCAAACAGCAACCCTGCTTTTGACTGGTTCCCTGTTTTTAAAGGGATACTTTAACAGATGACTGTGGTGAGTACACACCGCCTCAACACAGCTCTACAGTCACTGCAATACAAACACCCGCAGCTCTGTTCTGTCTTACAACTGCCCCAAAGATATTTGAGAAATATGGGATGCGTCAGCTTGAGAGTCCTAATCTACTCTTTAAGCCTGGGGGCTAGATTGTAGTGGCCAAAGTCTAAGCGCTCCCTACTGCTAGGAACAAAAAACAAAACTTTTTTTTTTAATATAGAAAAAGATCATGGGTCACTCAGAGCCTCAACTAATCTTGTCAATGATTCCCCAAAGAGGTTTTTGCATTTCTATAGAATCTGGTCCGATAAAGGTTGCAAAATGTTTGTTTGTTAGGAATAAAATGATTAGCAGTCATTGTTTTCTTTATCAATCAATCAATCAAACTAGGCCACACCATTGTTCTCTCGGTTTGATAGATCTCTTCCTGCATTTTTTTGAAAAAATGATAGGAAGGTGCCGGTGTTTTCCGAGGCCTGTTCCGCTGACACTTCTTTTAGACACAAATGTTATCATCTGCAAAAGTTGGCCCTTGACAATAATTTAAAACTTTTGGAAGCAACCTACATTTAACTTCTTGAATTTATCAATTTGCCTTAATTATCAGTGGTTTGTCAGTCCACTAACGTTTTTGGTTCAACTATTAATGCAGTGGTAGTCTCACTAATCATTGCCTTTACATGTATTCAACATTTGATGAACTATATTTAATTTAACTGCAGTCAGTAACTCAAAAAACTATGTGGCTTGGGGTTCCGCAAACTGCCACTGAGTGAGAAATTCAAATTTAATGGCAGTTTGGAGTCCTGGAATTTCCTTTGTAAAATGAAAAATCAAAAGCTGACACTTTAATCAATAAACAAATACAGGCTACATATGTGTGCGTTCTGCTTGAGCATGATTAAACAGAGCATGTTTCGTGTTTTTTTCTCCCCCCCAAAAGTATGTGGAATTGAGGGTGCCTTAACTTGTTTGGGATACAGAATGGGGTGCGCGGCCAAATACGTTTGGAAACCGCTGTCCCAGAACAAACAGTGAACATAGACAGTCAATACCAGTCGATGTACCCCTACTTTCAAGGCTGAGGAAAAGTAAATGTTTATCTACAAGTCTTTATTCCGTAGAAATCCCATTTTAAAAAAAACAAAACAAAACTATCCAAACTTTTTTTAAAAAAAAAAACAAAACAAAACTATCCAAACCGGAAAACCATTTTTAACATTTTTAATCTTGTGCACCCCAAGGGGTACCCGCTCTGAGTCACTGTTTTGTGTCACTGTTGTTACTAAAGGTGTAACTTATACTAGAATACCATAAGATTACAATATTTTCTCTATACTGCTCTGATGTATGGCGTGCTCTCAGTAGTCAAATTCACTGATTTTAATTAATTAAAAAGTACACGTACCCGTTTTTGTAATATTTTTTTTGTTTGTATTATTATTTAATGATTTAATGACTGCGAGTTTATTTTTATGTTTTAATGCAATTCTTGAACATTGAACGTGTGTGCATTGTTGGCAGAATGGGAACCGTTACTGCAACTTCAGCTGAGCACACGGTTATGTCAGACCAGGGAGTGGCTGTGTCGTGTCCACTCTAAACATTTAATGTTACACCACATAACTCGATGCGACTAGCTTAAAGACGACCGAAGCTAGTTATATGTGTTTGTGGGGTTTTTTATACAAACAAATTAAACAATTAGCTAGCATAAATCTGAAATACGCCGGTTCTAGCAGGGACGTGACATTTACACTGGCGGACATGGACCGTTAGCTCGAATACATGAGCATAGACAGTCAGCTGACGCACTCTGGCCACTATATAGCACAATAATTGTCCGGAAGGTATCAACCGCGACACCTTTACCTCATTCTAACCGCGTGAATGTGACTGCATGTTTATCCAAAAACAATCTGAAGCAAAGCCAGCTCACCCAGGATCTCTTTTCTCCTGTCGGCGTGCGGTTGGTCCGTGTACACCCACTCGAAGTCCTCACGAGCCACTCGGTTCCCCATATTTTTCTGCGTTACACGATGTGGTTGGAGGTGAACGTATTTAAAACAAAAAAAACCCCACAAGGTGCTTGGAAAACGGATGCTTTATGTGTGTAAATGAAAGAGTTCCTGTAGGCGTTCTCCTGAGACGCACCTCCTCCCTTAACTCAGTACAGCGGTCCCTTCGGTTACCGCACGATCTCGTCTGCCTCGCGCGTTCACGCGTCCCGTTCACGGAAACACGTTAGCATCAAAGTGGGAAGTCGTTCGACGTCACTTCCTAATACAAAATAAAATATATATGCGTGTATACATGTACTGTATGTACTGTAGATAGATAGATAGATAGATAGATAGATAGATAGATAGATAGATAGATAGATAGATAGATAGATAGATAGATAGATAGATAGATAGATAGATAGACAGACAGACAGACAGAACACACAAGGCTGTTGATTTCAATATCCCATAGTGACAGTGACCCCTTGTGGCGGAGGTGCGCAGCTGAGCACATGAAACGGTGTTTGTGTGCGTGCGCGTGCGCACTCCAGTTTTATTTTTTAAATCTATCTATCTATTATCATTGACTTGCCTTACTTCTCACCTACAAGAGAAACGGAATGTCTTCATCTCGGGTTACTTTTGCCATGTTGGTGGGAAACTGAGGAAAGAAAGGAAGGAAAGTGAACTGCATGTCATTGTGACCCAATGAAATGTGACGTTGGTGGGAAACTGAGGAAGGAAAGGAAGGAAAGTGAACTACATGTCATTGTGACCCAATGAAATGTGACCTCTGCTTTTAACCCATCACCTGGGGTGATTACATTTTACACATTTTTTACATAGGTGTGTGTACAATACTAGTCTGTGGCTGATTACATTTTACACATTTTTTACATATTATTACATCACAAAAACACAGAATAAAGTTGGATTGGTTGCTATATATGTAAAGATGCAAAAGCTTTAATATGCATTTGCCTTACTTGAGACATCAAGCTGCCATTCTAGTACTCTGGATCTTCTGAGTTACATTAAACCAGTGGATCGCAATTATTTTCTGCCATGCCCCCCCTTGGTGACAAAAATGTTATCTCAGCGGACACGGTTCACCAAGTTGCCTCATCCAATTTGTACCATCATTAAGTACAAGGATGCAATAAAAGAAGGCTAAGACTGTGATCACCAAACTAACTAATTATTTTCATATGTTTCGTGTATGAACATGTACACAAAATAAAGTTCGAATAAGCAATCATCTGGGATCATTTTCGAACCTCTGGTTCAAGAACGGCCATTAATTAAGTTCAAAAACCAAGGTTCCACTGTATTTGGTATAGGTTGCACTTTTACTAATTTTGAATTTTTTTATTGAAATTTGCGGACTACTGAACGGAAAATTAGCGAATCATGATTTATCGTAATTAATTATAAATTATAACAAATGTCCAATTTTTCAATGTACTGGTTCCTCTGGTGTCAAAGCTTGGGGACATGGGCCAGACCTCACACTTTGGTTAACAAAAATGTTATCCATGTGTATCGCATCGATAGAAGCAGTCGTTTTCCCCTAAGTAAACGTCTCAAGACCCCACATGCGATTCCAGCATATATGGCAAAACCCAAGCATTGAATTATCGGAGAAAAATAATTTAACAATTTTTACAGATATTACATAAGTATTCACTAATCTGTCTGTGCCATACAGATTAATGAAAAAAACTAGTCCATTCCATAGTTCCATAGTGCCTCGAGAGCAGAGAGTCCTGGGTTCGATTCCCAAACGAAGGGGCAGTTAACAGGCTGCCCCTAGGGGGCAGCCTATTGACAGCATATCTGCTGCTAACACAACAATTTTCCAAATATGGGATCGATATCGGGCTGACGTTATCAGACATCCCTCATTATTAGAGTTCACACTGTTCCTTTGGGGAGTTTAGATACAACTCAAGGATCATAATCGTTGATCACAATAAACGCAAGCAACAAAGGAGATACCAACATTCTAGATTCTAGGAAAAATAACCATGTTCTGTTTCTTACCCAATGTTTATCAACAAGATGAAAAAATACAAATTGTCACATTACGATGAGGTTTCGTCCACATGTGAAATTTTGGACAAGAAAAAGGTGCGAATTTGCTTATTCACCGACTAGTGAAAAAGACCTGCTCCCCTGTTTTTCTACAACAAAATGATGGTCTGGGAATTGCACACAGACACATGGATAAGCAATTTTTAATAAGTTTGACTTGTACATATGTAACAGTAAAGTGTGCAACAAAACCATACAATTAGCACCAAGTTGGCCAACTCAAAAGATCATTTCATCTTGGTACAGGTACATGAAATAATTCACAATCTACACTTTACATAAAGATTACAGTACAGTTTTCTAAACTGAGACGTAGTCTCAAAGTAAGCCACTAGTTCACACCTTCTTGTGTTTTTGTCAACGAGTGTTCACCACGATGTGTGAAACAGCACTTCCCAAATGTTTCTGCCAAACATTCACACCATGAGTGGTTCAAGACCCCCAACAACAGAAAAGCAAACTAAAAAGGAAACAAAAGTGCAGCCACAATATGGGCTGACAACTAATCTAGCTTTACAAGGCGAAGAGAGGAAGGAGGGTGGTTTCACTAGGGATCTGGGAGGAGGCATTTTACTTTTTTACAACAATGACCACATTTTTTTTTTACTGTGAGCCATTGAGCTAAACAAGCTTAAAATCACTTGTAATGATTTGTTTCTCCGCACATTTCTTATTGAATTTAGTGACATCTAGCGGTCAACCAGTTCAAATCCTGGATGAAAGAAGCCAGAATTGAATCACTAGTCAGAGAACAAATAATGCCAGAGGGGGAGGTTGCGGTAAAAATAGTCGTAATGAAAAAAAAAAAAAAAATCTTTAAAAACATTGTCATTGTGATAGATTTTTCTCACATAACATTACTTTCTATAACGAAACACAAAGTGAAGCAGACATTTTGATAAAGCTGATACTCTAACTTCAAAAGCGTCTTTATTTTTTTTTTTATATTCTAAATATTTTTGCATGATTACTGTTCAGGATAAAACGCTAACTGGCTTTAAATGTAATGTGATTTTTTTTTTTTTACTTTCCCAGGAATCCCAAGAATTTCTGAACCTAATTGTGCACTCTTTATGTTGTGGACGTTTGGACACCCAGGATAGACAATTTTAAAATACATTTTAAAACAAAGTTTGATTGCACTTTGTAAAATACAACACACACACACACAAAACTTACTCTACTGAGATGGGCAATATTTGGTGGTGAAATCTGAAAATAAGACCCTGGAATTATTTTGGGAGATGCCATACATATTGCAGCCATTAGACTGGCGTTAGTGGCAGTCCCTTATTCATTGCGTTGTCTGTCAAATGATGTCTGAAATTGAACTAGACAAGTGTGATCAGTGATTATGAAGAGAAATAAAAACATTAAAAAAAGCTGCTACTACTACAAAAGAATATATTACTTGCTTCTTTTTAGATGGTTATTATTGCACTTAACCAAGTCACAACAATGGAGATCTGAATTAACATAAAAATCCCTGTGAGAATAGTAGCCACATTACTGATTAATTTGATTTTACTTTCATTTTTTTTTCACTTTTAATTTAATTTCCTTCCAAGTTATTTCATGTATTAATCCTATTAATGGGAGTTTGGTACTTGAATGTTACGCTTCAACTGTGCTGTGATGTCCTGACCAAATACTGAACCTTGTGTTAGTAGGCGAATCATTCACCCTCCTCTACCAAAGTCTCTATTTCACTGCCATTGTGTTTGAGGTTAACAGGGATAGCAAAGCTGCAGGTCTGCCATTATTGTTGACCAGAATTTTATTGTTTCCAACAAGTAATATCTGGACCCAGATCTTTGTGGATTTGCTGCACTTAGGTTGCCTTGTGGAAAAGACAAAAGCAAAGCTATTGCTGTTGGAGCAGTCACAGTTATATTGCCCTTGTTAAGCCCAGAGGAAAGTAATGCCAGACACGTGTACAGTCAGCAATAATTTTGTGCAAGCACATCATACACTCTGATGTGTATCCAAAATTCATTCTAGAGTGAGCCACAAAGGTGGCCATGATGAATGCCCCCCCACACTGTTTGGCTGCCTAAGACAGATTAGTCTGCAAAGAGACCAATAAAATGATGCACTGCATTGGTGGAGGTCAATGAAGAGGGTCAGAAAATGAGAACAACACGGACCATCACACAGGGGTTTAACGACGTCCTCTCGCCACAGCGTTTTTGTGATTACATCACGATCTCTTGTAAATGTATTTAGAAAGTCTTCAAAACAATTTGCTCGGGAACTCGTGGACGAATACGTCGCGACAAGTCGCGATCGCGCGCCATACATTAGATCGCGCTACATTCTCTCTTTCATTTCTGTTGCTTTTTTTTTTGGAAACTTGTTGCCCTTCATTATGGCTCCTCAGACTGTTGATGTTTTACTAATGTAAGATATGCGAGTTCCCTGAAAATCAAGTTACGCCACGCCGTAGGAACAGAACTCCGACGCAAGTTGAGGACCTCTTGTATTCTACTTCTACTTGTAATTGTTTAAGAACGTAGGGCCGCTGTTGTAAATCTAATTTACAGTACGCATTTACATCATGAAGAGATACTCAAAATATCACGGAAAGTGTTGCGCAACGGAACTTACTAAACACCGCACATCATTTTAAGAAACTGAACAGGCAGTTGCTGTGGATACCTCAGCTGTTTACTATTAACCCAACCGACAAATGTGACCAGTTGAACAAGACCCAAAAACTACTCAAACATAGTGCTGTGTATAGCTTCCCCGGCAGCAACTGTTGCTCGTATCCATGAATTCATCCAAGTTCATCCAAGTTGTTGGAGCGCTATTTTTTTAAAAATTTTTTTATCACGACTATGATAGAGTGGAGCTGTTCTAATTTGAATCGTAATACACTATGTGACAAAATAGTGAAAAATCAGCAGTTTTCTAATGCTCACCGTAATACACTAATGTGACTATTGAAAAATCAGCAGTTTTCTAATGCTCATATGAAATACTTGCATTGGTGTCACTAGTACCCCATTGTGTGTACTAATGACACACAATGGTGTACTAGTGTGTACAGCCTAAAGTCAGGGTGAGGTCTAACAGCTCGCGCTCTAGCTGTCAGCAGCCTGGCCTTAAAGCTTTCTATCAGACGGACGAGAGTCCCCTGTGTATTTAATATTTTTCCTGCACAGAATCTCGTCATCTCAAAAACAATCCTTTATGTTGAGAATAGTGGGGTTATCTTTTTTTTTTTTAATTTAATTCAGATACATTTTTGTTTTCTGTGGGGTCCAAAGTGCTATTAGTAAGCATAACAAGCATAAAGGGAAGGTCAGTCTTTAGAAACACCTACACATTGCCATTTTAGAATTTTATGTTGATGTAAAAAAAAAAAAAAAATAAAATAAAAATGCTTGTAATGAGGAAAAAACGAATGAAAAAAGAAAAGGTGACCAAATATGATCAAATATTGACCCTGTTAATGTTGTGCAAAGTCATGACGCTGTAGGCTCAGTGTTTTAGCTGTGAGGAGCAGCCATCCATTTAACACTGGTGTCTGTTTCAACACCACAAAAAAAAAAGGGAAACACTGTTGAAGCACACCGGGAGATTTTTTTTTTTTTAAATGCAACTCCTCTGACAGACAGCACAGAGAGTAAGTGAGTAAGTGACGTGGGGAAGGAGCGGGTGGGGAGAGAGAGAGAGAAAGAGAGAGAGAGAGGGGTGGGACAAGCCAGACCTGCAAAACGAAAAGAGAACTAAATGACACGCAGTCTCTTATTTCTTGCTGCGCAGTCGTTTGGACTGTCGTGGAAGGTCTGAGCTCTTTCTGGTGCGTTTCAGCGATGACCCCTCCTGACCCTCTGGGTCTATGGGTATTGAGGCTGTAGTACCAGATGGGCTGGCGACAGCGGAAGACATGCTGCTAGATGTCGAGGGGACTGCCGTGCTGGGCCTGTTTCCTCCTAATGCAGCGGCACTACTGTCCATCAGTTCACGGAGCTTGTGCTCCAGCTCTGCAAGGCGGGCATTTTGCTCACCAATCACCTGCGTCTGTTCCAACAGCTTCTGCTCCTGGTCCTGCAGCTGCTTCTGCTGCTCCAGCTGCTTCACCCGAATCTCCTGCATCTCCCTGCGCAGCACCGTCATCGACGCACCGTTCACTTTCACCTGCTGCTGTACCTTAGTCATCTCGGAACGTGACGGTGTGTTTTTTGCCAGCAGAGACATGGTGGTCAGGGAGGTAGATGGACCCGCCACTAGGGGAAAAAGAGGAGACCATCAGCAGTCTTCAACAGCCACAGTTTGTTTGTTCGTTTACACTCCGTATTTCACACGTAGTTTAGCCTAGCTCAGTAAACCTGCTTCTCCTTCTTTAAAACTAGTCAAATTGGCTGCCATCTTTTTCTCGTTCCCCAGCAGCATCTAATATTATCTGCGATTGTTAGCGAATCATCTTAGAGATTAGTCAAATTGGCTGCCAGCTTTTTCTCGTTCCCTAGCAGCATCTAATATTATCTGCGATTGTTTCATTTGACTTCATTTCTATTATGTAACAAAAAACAGGTGTTAGGATTTTCAGAAGTAAATGGTGCATTTAGAAGTCTTCTCTGACCTGGTGCAGACCCGATCAGACGTCCAGATAGGTCGGCTCCCGGAAGCTTCTTTTTCAGGATAGGGACAATCTTCTCATCAAAGTACTCCATGGCCATAGAAGATATATCCCTGAGCTCCTGTAAAACTTCATGGGCACGCTGAGGGGCCCGGGTTGAGTTGACATAACGCAGCACACGATATATCTCATCTATCACCTGATGACACATTGTCGAGAGTAAGACAAACAGGAAGTATACAGAAAAAAAAAAGAAAGGAAAAAAAATTAATTCCTAATCTGATCATCTCTGAATTCCTAACATTTGTTTCCAGCAGGACTGTGATTATTAGCTTGTACCACAGCAGTAGGCCCACATAGCAGTTGTTTTTAATTATTTTCTGTCAAGCACCCCCTAGTGGACAGAAATTTTGTATTTCTGTCCCCTATATGTATTTTATCTGTACAAACCACCGAATGAGTTACTGCCACCTGGTGACTGGAAGACGATATTTGAGAAGTACCCCACTATTTGAGAAGTACTGCCACATAGTGATTTGGGATATTTTTAAACACCAGATGCCCTACATGATTCAAACCAACCTGGGGCCTCATGTACAAAGACGTGTGTAGATTTTATCGTAAAAACAAAATGGCGTAAGCAAAAATTGGTGTTGGTTGAGGCACATCAAAGTAAAAAACAAATGGTCCGAGTTCTAAGTGGACGTTAAGCCTTGCGCACAGGTCCAGTAACAATGATCTTGGTAAACGTCTTCTAACAACACTACCGCTGCCATTGTTAATACCATTTTCTTCACCACTAGATCCATTTATTTGCAAACACGTGGGTGTGTTAGTTGTTCACTAACGTGTCTCTGATATGCACATCACTCTGATGACTTACTTGTTTTTACATTTTTAGCAGTTTCCCAGCATGACCTCTAGGTGTCGCCAAAGGCAAACACCCATAGGTACGTGCATACGTCATCTCTGGAGCTGACGTGAGGCCTGCACATATCTCATTTCATTTTTGATACATACGAACGTGAGCCTGGAAAAGGACTTGCACAACTTTTTTTTTGTGCGTACGCAATGTTTGTACATGAGACCCCTGGTGAGGCAAAACAGAATCCAGAACATTTTACGTGTCAAGCAGAAATATCAAGCAAAACTAATGCCATTGTCATAAACTAGCAGGAATAATTTGAATGATCGAAGGCAAAATAATGTAACTTAAAAACGTTGGCCAGTCCATTTCAGAGCATGGAAATATCACATATATCATGAGCAATAAATTACTAGAATAGAAAACTAATAATCTCAGCCAACCTTTCCAGGAATAAAACAACAGAGGTTGGAATCCACGTATTTCATGAAAGTCATGTTGAGCAGAGACAGGCGTGTTTCCACGGCAGCCAGGATGTCAGCATGACGGGCCAGTGAATGGTTCCTTCTCTCCGACTCTCGTCTGGGTAAAAACACAACGTAACACAATATTGTTATTACAGTAGCTGTGGTATCAGTATCTTTTCTTACATTTATGTTGTCTGTGGTTAAAAATCTGCATGGTGGCTTGACACTAACCTGGGCAGCTGGGCTTTGACCTGCCTTTGACACAGACTGTGATAACGTTCCACCTTCAAGAAGCCCTGATTGAGGACACGCTGACAGATCATGTCCATGCGCTTACACACCTAGGAAACAGCCACAGGAGGAAATGAGTATTTACAGTAGAGAGAGGTGCAGAGCTTAAGGAAGTACAATTTCATATCTCATATTTGCAGTTATTATGGAACATTTGCTTTTATTTACTTCAAATGACTTATTTCACCCAAACCACAGACTTTGCCAAAATGCCTGTCTGTGTCAGAGTCTCTTTCTGAAAACAACAGTGAAGACTTGACTATTAAAACTAGCAAGGACAAAAAAAAATACAACATGACCTGTTTAATTATTAAAACTGGCAAGGAAAAAAAAAAAAATACAACATGACCTGTTTAACAGGTGCTATCTTGAAGCACAGGCTGACAAAGTGTTTTTGCTGCCAGTAAGATTATTTTATCCGTCTCAATCATGACAACAACAAATTCACAACTTCGTCAAAAAAAAAAAAGGACAAATTTATGTATACAAGAGTGGTTCAGGAAAATAGATCGTAAGCAGAAAACAATGGAAGTGAAGTCGTTGACTGACATTAAAGGGTGCACAGGATTCATGGGGCTACAGCGCTGAAGAAGTTGAAAGTATGTATAACCTCAGGCAATGGTGTGAACATAGCGTAAGCAGTGCCCTCAAGTTATACCAAAATTGCAGACCTTTCCAATTGTATTTGAACCCGATTTCACACAATGCATTGGTTAAAAGTCCTATAAGTAAAATGTACAAATTAAATATAAGGCAGACATGAAATGGTAACAGGATATCTAATTTATAATTTACTGTGCAGTACTTACTAACATATGGTGGTAACATTGTATATGTTGGTTGATTGCACTCACATCACCCCCTCACCCCTGTCATATACAATGCTGGAGAATCTTGATAACAGTATCGTGAAACGAAACATTGTGATATTTCACTGTATCAATATTTTTCTTACACCGCTAATACATACTGTATCTTCAGTTTACTTTTCATCAAGAACACAAATCTACCCAGTCTTGACATGAGGGTTCATTCTCATCTCTGTAATTTAATTGAATGTGGCATATTTTCTGGACTCACATTCAGTCCAATATACCCAGCACTGCTAAATGTTATATTCCATCATGTTTCTGATTAGTTGTAGCTAGGTCCCTATGGAAGCTACCATGATTTACAACTGTGTTTTTACCATTAGCCCACAGCATAAACACATTTTTAAAAAATCTACTGGAAACTGTAGACACTTGTGTTTTTATCTTGGACAGTCGAACCACTGTATTTGCTATGCATATGATAAACATTCTAAATCTTTTAGTCATACCTGAACATGAATAAAAAGCATCAAAGAAAATGCATAATCTGGTAATGATTCAGTATATGCAGCTGGGCCTAATGTACTACGTACAACTACGTAAATGAAACACAGAGCCCTCCATGAAAAAGATCTGCTCTTGATGTGAATAAAAAATGGATAATTCAAAAGTGAAAGCTAAATATTTTATGCGAGTGTCCACTCCAAATGCCAACGGAAGTAAAATTAAGCTATCTTTTGTACGAAAACGTAGGTAATAAAATATTACATTACCGCCAGCGATTCATTTAGAATCTTTACAGTACTGTTGCAGATAAAAGGTGTACCTATTCATTTAGAATCTTAGAACCAGTACTGTTGCAGATAAAAGGTGTACCAAATACAGTTTTAGTTTTTGAAACTACGTGACACACAATAAATTCTTAAATAATTTTTTTTAAAAAAAGCTAAAAACGGTCACACAAAATTCCAACAACTGTCTGCAGGAAGGGCTGCGGAGGAAAGCAAGGCGCAGAGCAATGTCCAATGTTGTTGTTATAACAACAATAATAATAATTATAATAATTATAATAAATTAGCATGTGAGATGCTTGCGGTTTAAGACAGCACGGGGATTGAATTATCTCTTTCCTGTCCGTGTAAATGCGGCTGCCTCTTGTTGCACCGTTAATTAGGCAACAGTTATGGTAACAACACAATGAACACTGCGGCCCACACCTGCAACTTTGCCAAACAAGACACTCCAAGACGCGGCTTCAAAGTAAACGACCACCCGGTTATAGGTCCAAGAATCGCACACAACTTCAACATACGGAGAGGTGCGTTTACTTGTCAGTAGCTTTGTTTCCCATGCAGTTGCCCTGTTCTCGTTCAGCTTACCGAGCGAAGAAGGCTGATTTCATCGTAAGAGAGGAAGTTAAGAATGGTCTCGATGGCCACAATGGGTAAACCCAAGAGCGGATTGTTTTGGTGCGGCTGGTCCGGGGAAGGGGTCAACTGTCGCGGTGACACAACGTCTGCGTCCAAGGACCTAACACCTCCATCAGCTCGCTCTACGACAGTCGCCATTTTGCCTAGCCGAGGAGGAGGCGGAAGTGACGTTTTTAAAAGGAAGCGAGGTGCCATTTTCCCCCGTGTTTTCTCAATTATTGTTAAGAATCATATTACTAAGTGATGAAGAAATAAATACAATATATACCCATCAAATATTAGTATTACTTCATTCATAGTAATCCCTTTTAAAAAAATAAATAGCATGTCTCTTATTTTGTTTTTAAGGTATTAGACATGTATTCAAATTTAGAAAAAGGTAAATCGCCAAATATCCAAAATCCTCTGGTAATTTGGAAAGTAACGGGATATTTGTACAGGTTTGTGCAACAATGGCTGTGAAAAGGATTTCTTCATTATCATTATTAACAGTCCTTTGTTGTCACTAGTTTTTAGGTGTCCACATATTCATATCAGTGATGTCCTTTCCTCCCCAAAAAGAGCCTCTTACATTTTATAATAGGTTGACTCTAAATTACTTAGCTCTTTGTTTAACTCCATCTTTAAACTGCAATTGATTTAGCCAAGTACTGTCTAAAGTACAATCCAGAGCAGTTACATAATTACATAAATAATCCAGGTACAATAATCAAAATGGGGAAAAAAGTTTATACAGAAAACAGTTACAGCAAATATGCATTTTGAAGAAGGTAAATTAAATGTCCAAATATTGTCAAAAGGGATTCAACCGACCAAAATACACAAAACGTGCAGCTAGTTTTACAAAATTCTTTGCCAGTAGTTGAAGATGAACAGCTTTTTTGAACAGCTCGTGGAATTTGCTTGTAGAGTTTTGTATACAACCATTAGAACCTAACCAGCCAGGTGAAATTTGGGTATCAAGCCAACTAGTCAGCACTGATAGGATGAGAAAGGTCTAGTTAGCAACATTTTTGGAAGCTATTTGGCCCCAAACTGCTGCAGCTAATGCCGTGAAGCTTGTGAAACTGCCTGTTACATCCTATGTTATGCAGCTTAAACATCCAAAGTCCAGCAAATATAAACAATGTCTCCGCAAGATCAGCTTTGTTGAGAAGCAATGACTTGCTGTATAGCATCGCAAAAACTTTCCAAAGAAAAAGCACTTCAGCAAACTCAATAGTCCAGGTCTACTTGGGATGTGGGTCCTGTGTGCTGCCTCTGAAGATGAATAGTCAGTTCATTCCATTTCAGTGGCATCCAGTTCACTCAGAAACCTTTGACACTTGCTCATGAGAACTTTGACTGCCTCTGTGAAAAGAACATCTGGAGCCAAGATGCCGGTCGACTCCACAGTAACTGTGTGAGAGGAGGGACAAAACAAACACATTTATTTTAACTACATAACCCTGAAACCTTATAATTTCCTGTGAACAAACAATATGTGGAAGAAATTCTGCCAAAAGACAACATTTTGTGTTTTGTTTTGTTTTTTGTTTTTTTTGGCCGTAGAATCAGATCATCTGCGTTTTAGCCTTAGTTTAGTCACATTGTGTCTTAAGGTAGTAATTGTATTGCTTGGCAAAATGTTGGTAAAATAGTTTTGTTGTTATCAAAAAAATACAGACACAAATAACGAACACTATTACATTTGGATTAAATGTGAGTTTCAATGTTTTTCTTTGATGGATTTTGTTTGGTGGAAATATCACTTTAAATCACTCAGCGACATACATATGAAATGGTCCCGCACTCTTCCAAGTTTCACCAAATTCTTGAGGTCATCGTGTCGAATAACTTCTCGGCTACATGTATCCATGCGACTGTTTACTACTTTTGCAGCCTTCGTTCCTGGTGAGAAGAAAATATTAGCAGAGATCATAGACATGATTGTAAGGTAGTTGTATCAACTCATGATATACATTACTTGTGCACCTCCACTACTTTCACTTCATCAATTTGTAAGCCCTTCGAATGTCAGTAAGAAATCGGTTACATCTAAAACACATTTGAAAAGTATTGAACGTTGAAAACATAGTCAGCTACAAATGTCCCCAAGCTGCGCAGGATACTAAACTGAATCATTCAATATATTTCATGTCAATACCACTTTTGGTGTAGTCCAGAGGGTCATAAGTAGAGAGAGAATAACATAAAAGGGCGAATGCCATTTACAGTTTTAATTTGCATTACTGGTTCTTACCGTTAACATCCTGCAGTGCTATAACTCCCGGGGAAAAACAGCGTTTTAGGCGCTCTGCTTTCTCTCCTTCCACAGGCTCCAGGAGGGTGATCTCAGGTAGAAGCCGATAACTGGCAGTTGCCACTGGAGAAAATTTAGCATGGTCTTTACCTTGATACGGGACAGAGAAAACAAGTCAGAAGATACACATAGGTAAAATGTGATGGTCAGAACTGGCAGGGAGCTAAAGAAAACCTTGTAGTAAATTTTATAATGTTTCGCTATAAGATCAGTTTTTTAGCAAAGGGAAAAATTCAGGGTTTTCTAAACGTCTGAAGTGTTGTTGTAGCAGCTACAACAAAATAAGGCAATAAAATCAGTGTTAAGAGTGCATTTCTTCTTTTTGCAAAGACGACAAAAAGGAAACGTTTTCAGCTATGTTAACAAAATACTTATCTAACAAGACATTGTCTATATTGTTTTAAGTTTCTAATTTAAAGCAGTTGAAAAGATAAGTATGTTAGTGCAGAAATGTTTGCTAAAATACAGCTAAATGCACCGGTGTTGTCATTTTTAGCCATACCTAATAAAAGTCCTTGTTTTTAAAATGAGCTATCAGGCTAAAGAGATAAGATCTTACCAATTCCTTTGACACAGTGCATAACAATATCCAGTTCATGTCCTGGTCGAAGCTGAGCAATCAGGATATCATCGTGGACTGGTCTAATTACAGAATCTGCAAACACATCTGCTTGGTTTCCAATAGGGACCCACGTTATGTCCCTGGAATAAACTGATTCAAAGGGGCAGATTGCAGGAAAATAGAAAGGATTACATTAAAGTTTATTTATTTGCTTTATTAAGGCATGTGATTCTAATATGTAATAAAATGTAAAAAAAAAAAAAAAAAAGTTGTTAATCACCCATGTGGTTAAGATAGAGCTCCCGAGGGTCTGAAGATTCTTTGCTGGCTTTGGGGTTCCTGCTGCACTTAATTTTCAGCTGTAGTTGAATTGTGTCTATTTCTGAACCCTCTGCTTCTGACGCCTCTGCTTCAGGAGCTGAGGTGAATGAAGAAAGACGAGGTCAAGTATGATAAAGATTCAGATTCATAACACGACACAGCACTATGTACTAGCACTAAATAGCACTATGCAAACAAGTGAAAAAAAACTGATGCACAATAGTTTTCCTAATATTTATGTCACAGTTAAGCAGTTTGTTTTTTACCCGTGTTCCTGTATTCAAACAGGCGAGGGTCAGCCTTGATGGGAATGAGACCTAATCTGTGGGCCAAAACTTCATCCTGGACAATGGATGTGTTGTTATAGATAAACACCTTCTCTATAGCCATGGTGGGCACCTACAAGAAAGAACATTTAATGCTGCATAATAAATACAGTACTAATAGAATTAATGCAATGCCAAAACTAAAGTGGCCTAAGGGGATAGGTGCAGATTTTATGAACACACAAAAAGAGGGGAAAACAGACAGAAACAGGTACGTCTTCATCTGAAATCTGTATGTGTTCAAACACAACTGTACAAATTACTCGTGTGATTTGGTTTGGTCAGATATAGCAGATGATCATGTTTATATGAAATGCATTTTATTTCATTTCATTAAATTTTAAGTATATACATATTCTGTTGTCTGAATGTGAGAGCATTGCACCTCAACTAACTACAATAAATTGACCTTTTACTTAATTAAACATGTGCACGACAGGAGCGTTGCTGAGCGAAGATAATGTGGGACGCATTTTTACCGGTTCCT